GTGAGGGGGTTTCGTAGACTAGACTAGTGACGTGGGGGTGGGGGTGGGGTTACGTAGACTACACTAGTGACGTGACTAAGTGATGTAGACTAGCAAGTGACATGGATTGGTGACGTAGACTATCTAGTGACGTAGGCTGGTGACCTAACTAGGGAGGTGGGGGGCTGGTGACTCGAACATATAGTGACATGGGCTGGTGACACAGACTGGTGATCTAGAATAGTGTCAGAGGCAAGTGACGTAGACTAGTGACAGGTGAGAGAGAAGTGACGTGTAGTCATGACACATCAGGTGAGGCTAGCTAATGCTACACAAGACAGAACGCATGCTAGAGTAGGGGAAGCAGTGTTTACGTGTTACACTGTGTTCATAATAGGTTTTAAGCTTAATCCATCTCGGAATATTTAATAATGACATATATTCATTGTTATTCAGATATATTTAATTGAAAATAGTTTGTAAAAATTTAACTATGTAACACATAAAAAACTAGGACTTTAAATTTATCTTGGTTTAATGAGTTTTAACTGTGAAATTAAATATATCGCCTAGGTAAGGATTAGTGGCTACGTGAGTGTGTGTGTGTGTGTGTGTGTGTGTGTGTGTGTGTGTGTGTGTAGGGGAAAGGGTGTTGGGCACTCTCAGATGTGGTGGGTGTGTCGTGTCAAGATTGTGTCAATAAAAGATCTTGACTCACCGAGAGGGAGATGATCTTGTCAAATAACATCAGGGGCGGCATGTGGAAGTCGAAGACAAAGTACTGGAACAAAAGATAAACAGGGAAGTCAGTGGAATGGGGAGGGGGGGGGTACGCTCGGGCTTACGGGCTATACTGGAGCACACACCACACTGTAAAACACACAACACAGGACCACACACCACAGTGGAACCCACAACACACTGTACCATACAACACACTGGACCACCACCACACTGGACCACACACCACACTGTCCCACACACCACACTGGACCACACAACACTGTCCCACACACAACACTGGACCACACAACACACTGGACCACACAACACACTGTCCCACACACAACACTGGACCAGACACCACACTGTACCACACACCACACTGTCCCACACACCACACTGTCCCACACACAACACTGGACCACACACAACACTGGACCAGACACCACACTGGACCACACAACACACTGTACCATACACCACACTGTCCCACACACCACACTGGACCACACAACACACTGTACCACACACCACACTGTCCCACACACCACACTGTCCCACACACAACACTGGACCACACACAACACTGGACCAGACACCACACTGGACCACACAACACACTGTACCATACACCACACTGTCCCACACACCACACTGGACCACACACCACACTGGACCAGACACCACACTGGACCACACAACACACTGTACCATACACCACACTGTCCCACACACCACACTGGACCACACACCACACTGGACCAGACACCACACTGGACCACACACCACACTGTCCCACACACCACACTGGACCACACAACACTGTCCCACACACAACACTGGACCACACACCACACTGGACCACACAACACACTGGACCACACAACACACTGGACCACACACCACACTGGACCACCACCACACTGGACCACACAACACTGTCCCACACACCACACTGTCCCACACACAACACTGGACCACACACCACACTGTCCCACACACCACACTGGACCAGACACCACACTGGACCACACAACACACTGTCCCACACACAACACTGTCCCACACACCACACTGTCCCACACACCACACTGGACCACACAACACTGTCCCACACACAACACTGGACCACACACCACACTGGACCACACAACACTGTCCCACACACCACACTGTCCCACACACCACACTGGACCACACAACACTGTCCCACACACCACACTGTCCCACACACCACACTGGACCACACAACACTGTCCCACACACCACACTGTCCCACACGCCACACTGTCCCACACACAACACTGGACCAGACACCACACTGTCCCACACACCACACTGGACCACACAACACTGTCCCACACACAACACTGGACCACACACCACACTGTCCCACACACCACACTGGACCACACAACACTGTCCCACACACAACACTGGACCACACACCACACTGGACCACACACCACACTGTCCCACACACAACACTGTCCCACACACAACACTGGACCACACACCACACTGTCCCACACACCACACTGGACCACACAACACTGTCCCACACACCACACTGTCCCACACACCACACTGGACCACACAACACTGTCCCACACACCACACTGGACCAGACACCACACTGGACCACACACCACACTGTCCCACACACAACACTGGACCACACACCACACTGTCCCACACACCACACTGGACCACACAACACTGTCCCACACACCACACTGGACCATACACCACACTGGACCACACACCACACTGGACCACACATCAAAATCAAACTGTACCACACGCCACACTTGACCACACACCACACTGGACCACACACCACACTGTCCCACACACCACACTGGACCACACACCACACTGTCCCACACACCACACTGGACCACACAACACACTGTACCATACACCACACTGGACCACACACCACACTGTCCCACACACCACACTGGACCACACACCACACTGTCCCACACACCACACTGGACCATACACCACACTGGACCACACAACACTGTCCCACACACAACACTGGACCACACACCACACTGTCCCACACACCACACTGGACCACACAACACTGTCCCACACACCACACTGGACCACACAACACTGTCCCACACACAACATTGGACCACACACCACACTGTCCCACACACAACACTGGACCACACACCACACTGGACCACACATCAAAATCAAACTGTACCACACGCCACACTTGACCACACACCACACTGGACCACACACCACACTGTCCCACACACCACACTGGACCACACACCACACTGTCCCACACACCACACTGGACCACACAACACACTGTACCATACACCACACTGGACCACACACCACACTGGACCACACAACACACTGGACCACACACCACACTGTCCCACACACCACACTGGACCACACACCACACTGGACCACACACCACACTGTCCCACACACCACACTGGACCACACACCACACTGTCCCACACACCACACTGGACCACACAACACACTGTACCATACACCACACTGGACCACACACCACACTGTCCCACACACCACACTGGACCACACACCACACTGGACCACACACCACACTGGACCATACACCACACTGTACCATACACCACACTGTCCCACACACCACACTGTACCATATACCACACTGGACCACACACCACACTGGACCGCACAACACACTGTACCATACACCACACTGTCCCACACACCACACTGTACCATACACCACACTGGACCACACACTACACTGGACCACACACCACACTGGACCACACAACACACTGTACCATTCATCACACTGTCCCACACACCACACAGTACCATACACCACACTGGACCACACACCACACTGGACCACACAACACACTGTACCATACACCACACTGTCCCACACACCACACTGTACCATACACCACACTGGACCACACACCACACTGTACCACACAACACACTGGACCACACAACACACTGTACCATACACCACACTGTACCACACACCACACTGTACCACACAACACACTGTACCATACACCACACTGTACCACACACCACACTGTACCACAAACCACTCTGTACCACACAACACACTGTACCATACACCACACTGTACCACACACCACACTGGACCAGACACCACACTGGACCACACAACACTGTCCCACACACAACACTGGACCACACACCACACTGTCCCACACACCACACTGGACCACACACCACACTGTCCCACACACCACACTGGACCACACACCACACTGTCCAACACACAACACTGGACCACACACCACACTGGACCACACATCAAAATCAAACTGTACCACACGCCACACTTGACCACACACCACACTGGACCACACACCACACTGTCCCACACACCACACTGGACCACACACCACACTGTCCCACACACCACACTGGACCACACAACACACTGTACCATACACCACACTGGACCACACACCACACTGGACCACACAACACACTGGACCACACACCACACTGTCCCACACACCACACTGGACCACACACCACACTGGACCACACACCACACTGTCCCACACACCACACTGGACCACACACCACACTGTCCCACACACCACACTGGACCACACAACACACTGGACCACACACCACACTGGACCACACAACACACTGTACCATACACCACACTGTCCCACACACCACACTGTACCATACACCACACTGGACCACACACCACACTGTACCACACAACACACTGGACCACACAACACACTGTACCATACACCACACTGTACCACACACCACACTGTACCACACAACACACTGTACCATACACCACACTGTACCACACACCACACTGTACCACACACCACACTGTACCACACAACACACTGTACCATACACCACACTGTACCACACACCACACTGGACCAGACACCACACTGGACCACACAACACTGTCCCACACACAACACTGGACCACACACCACACTGTCCCACACACCACACTGGACCACACACCACACTGTCCCACACACCACACTGGACCACACACCACACTGTCCCACACACAACACTGGACCACACACCACACTGGACCACACATCAAAATCAAACTGTACCACACGCCACACTTGACCACACACCACACTGGACCACACACCACACTGTCCCACACACCACACTGGACCACACACCACACACCACACTGTCCCACACACCACACTGGACCACACAACACACTGTACCATACACCACACTGGACCACACACCACACTGGACCACACAACACACTGGACCACACACCACACTGTCCCACACACCACACTGGACTACACACCACACTGGACCACACACCACACTGTCCCACACACCACACTGGACCACACACCACACTGTCCCACACACCACACTGGACCACACAACACACTGTACCATACACCACACTGGACCACACACCACACTGTCCCACACACCACACTGTCCCACACACCACACTGGACCACACACCACACTGGACCATACACCACACTGTACCATACACCACACTGTCCCACACACCACACTGTACCATACACCACACTGGACCACACACCACACTGGACCGCACAACACACTGTACCATACACCACACTGTCCCACACACCACACTGTACCATACACCACACTGGACCACACACTACACTGGACCACACACCACACTGGACCACACAACACACTGTACCATACACCACACTGTCCCACACACCACACTGTACCATACACCACACTGGACCACACACCACACTGGACCACACAACACACTGTACCATACACCACACTGTCCCACACACCACACTGTACCATACACCACACTGGACCACACACCACACTGTACCACACAACACACTGGACCACACAACACACTGTACCATACACCACACTGTACCACACACCACACTGTACCACACAACACACTGTACCATACACCACACTGTACCACACACCACACTGTACCACACACCACACTGTACCACACAACACACTGTACCATACACCACACTG